TACCGAAAGGCACTTGTGGACTAGTGCCCAAGGCAGCAGGGTATGTGGAGACAGCACCAAAGCACAACCAATTGCAACCTAATTTCAACAGTGTGTTTGAGCATGTGCATAGGGGATTGAGCAGTGGCCATAGAGGAGTCATGAGACCTTAGGCAGCTTAAGGAATATACTAGATACCTCCTCCTCTTTAGGCTCAAATTTGATACAGCATACAGTTACAGACTAATGGTTGCTCAACAAATAAAGCAGAGACCATGTGCATTTCATGAGGTTATTGTAGTTTAAAGCAGAAATCTCCACCTGTTTCTGTCCCATCTGCTTCTGCCTCTGGGGTTTGGTGGCGCTATTCCAATTGTCTCTACTTCCCCTTCCCCCACTGTGTGCCTCTAAAGTTTAATTGAAGGGTATTGCGCAGGCATACTTCCCCGTTTGGTGGCACCCACCCTCCCACACCCGATCCACTGCGAATCATAGATACTGCCCCTAGACAACACAAAATGTCAATGCTGCTGTGTCTTGCACACTATTTTCATAGAACCAGTTTCATCTTTTTGACAAAGATCCTGCCCCTTCCTGCACACTGAAGGACCACTTATGCTGCTGACAGTGCACTGTATGCTGTTATGTTGTTCTTTATGTGTGAATGCAGTGTTGTTACTCAGTGAGTAGAACTGACTTGCTGCATTCCTTATTACATTAGATAAAGAGTGCGGTGTTATACACTTGAATTGAAGGCTAGCTCAGACTAGCTCAGACTAGCTCAGACTAGCTCGTTATGCCATGCAGCATGATCTGGACTACAAACACATTCCTGTAAAATGTAAATCAATGTTGTAGTGGGCATAACATTAGTGATGTGCTGGCTCCACCTGAATCCCCCCACCAACCAGTGCAAAGCAGGATAAGAGAGAGACCAAGGATGGTGTTTTTTTCTATCCAGTTTCAAGGTAGAAGACCTCAGATAAAAATAGGGGGGTAAAAAGATAGATTGCTGCACACAGTAGAATACATTTTTGTTTTAATGATAACTGATGTGTGGACCTTGCACGCTTTGGCATCATGCATGTTTCTGTGTGAAACTCTCTAAATACAGACTTGGTTGGTATAGGAGGGCAACTAAACAAAATAATGGATGTAAATGTCAGTGGAAAAAAAGGTCAGGACTTTATAATGCAGCATATATTGTTCTGCTTTAAAATATATTAATATGTGTATAAAATCTCTATTACATCTGTCCTAAAATAAACCATGCCATGGCCCAGAGAGAAAACCTGGCTGTAATTTTTGTCTGTTTGCTAGAACACCACAGGCAACAAATATAGACACAATTGGCAACAAGCCTAGTGACTGCATAGTTTCAAACAAAAAGGATAGGAAATGATCTTCATATATATTGAAAGGAGAGTTCATGCTATATTATTTTGAAGTATTAGAATGTAATAGACCATTTTGAAAGGTGTTGGTTATCAAATACATCTTTAGCATAGAGGAAGGCAGAACATAACTTGCTCTGTCACCGTTTTATGGTTAAAACACAAATGACTAATTTAAAGCAAAGGACTGCACTTTTTTTTTTTTAATTCGCTTTGCTTCTCACTGCAAAAGACTTTGGGAAGAGGCAAAGTTAGCAACAGCTGTAGATTCAGTTGGTAGAAATCACAACACTCCTTGAATGTCAAGAATCAAGTTGACATCAGGTCAATGACTGACATGGCTTTTTTTTTTTTTGCTTGAACTACATCCTTAAGATAGCCGCCCACATTACAATCTGATTATACGACCTTTGTACAATCTTCTTTAGATTTACTAAAAGTTTTGTAGTACAAAAACCTGTCTAAATATTCCATTAAGTGTATATTTTAATGGGTAGACCCCCCTTCTTCCTAGCTGTTGGTCATAGATAAAGCAGATGGAGCTATTTGATTGTAATGTGTGTCAGTAGCTTTGGACATGTGCTAATTTGAGAGAAGAAAAACCTGTTTAAATGTTGTCGGAAGTAACTGCACCACCAAATTTCATCAGATAGGGTGGATTATGGGCGAGTGTTGGCTACAAGAGATGCTACATGTCAGCTTATGACAGTAACACACATAGTTAACAGGACGTGCCAAATTTCCAATGAACTGCTGATAGGCATCTTAGCAGTCCTTGAAGAGCCCATGATAGTAGATCGTCAAACAGGCAAGACATTTTTACATGTTTACATCCAAAATGGTCATAATTACTCATGAAGGCTCAAGATTTGTTTTTTGTTTTTTTATTAAAAAACATCAAATAGTAGATTTATAGTAAAAGCATGAACCACCTTCAGAACAGTGGGAACACCTATAATTTTGGCTATGGTGCTAGTAAACAAAGTACTTTTTATTTCTTGCACCAATGAGATTAATAACCAAGAGTACTTACATCTTCAAGCTCACTAAAAAGCACTGGTAGTCTGTACACAAACATTCCTGTGATGTGACTGGATTACCTATTTACAAACTACAGGTGAAACTCGAATAATTAGAATATCGTGCAAAAGTAATTGCAGTAAGTGCTGCAAAAGGGGCCCAAACCAAGTACTGAGTACATTTGCATGCTTGTACTTTTCAGGTCTGATATTGTTCTATGTACAATCCTTGTTTTATTGATTGCATGTAATAATCTACTTTTTTGAGGTTGTGGATTTGGGGTTTTCATGAGCTGTAAGCCATAATCATCACAATTATGACAAATCACGGCTTGAATTATCTTGCTTTGCATGTAATGAGTCTATCTCATATATTAGTTTCACCTTTTAAGTTGCATTAGTGAAATAAATGAACTTTGCACGATATTCTAATTATTCGAGTTTCACCTGTATACAGTCAAACACACTGAACTTGCATACAAATATGGCCAATTAAATATTTGCAGCACTGCTACACACAGAAATTGCAAACAACATTTTTTGAATATACCGATAGATGGCATTTGATCTGTGAAAGTTCACATACTAGGTTCCCATTTATCTAGGTGGTTTATGCTCAGAGATCGATTTCCACTGCAGGTCCCGTACTATTAGACTGCAGTCTCCAATCTCACCTGTCTTAGTCTAAAAGGAAGCAGAAAGGTTCTTGCCGATAGAAGGCTAATATAAACCTGGATTAATAATTAAAGTTCTGGATCCAATGAGTTACATGGTATACTTTCACAGAAACCAATTTTTTGATGTTTGATGGATGAATAAAAGTCCTTAATTAAGAATTTTGTTGCCGACATGAGCAATCTTTGAGAGATTTCTGGTAATATCAGATTAAAGTAAAAACATGTTGGGATCAGCACCAAAAGGAGACACCAACCCCTGAATAATTTCATAAATAACAACCAAAAGAGAATGGGGCTTTTTAGGTGACTTCTAGACAATGCAAAGAGATGCAGCTATATATAATGACACGTAGCTCATTTCATAATAAATATTTAATAAAATATAGATTAATATCCTGGCTAGAAAACATTGAATTCATAAAACGTAACACAATCATTAATGACAAGACCACATTACATGTGTAATCAGCATAACACCTCTAGGATCCCGTACAGATTTGTATAATGCACTAATGCAATGTGCATTATACAAATCTGTACGAGATCCTAGAGGTGTTATGCTGATTACACATGTAATGTGGTCTTGTCATTAATGATTGTGTTACGTTTTATGAATTCAATGTTTTCTAGCCAGGATATTAATCTATATTTTATTAAATATTTATTATGAAATGAGCTACGTGTCATTATATATAGCTGCATCTCTTTGCATTGTCTAGAAGTCACCTAAAAAGCCCCATTCTCTTTGGTTGTTATTTATGAAAATATCAGATTAAAAGCAGTAGACTAAAAAGTGATGCAAGGCCCCTTGATAAAGTTAATTTGTTACTTTTGCTGTAACCATAAAAATAGATGTTATAACCTTCCAAATGTTATGTTTTCCATTAGCAGTAGCATTTTTGTTCTAATGCTACATGAATATAAATTCAAAAACACATATAATCCATACACTATGATCTCACAGCTTTTTACAAAACTAGTAGCTGCCTTTACCCTGTTTGGCAGAAGTAACTTTTGTTTCTGGACATTTCTAACTCTTTTTAAAAACATTATTTTGTTGGCAGTGAAATTCATTTAGGTCAAAACCTAGTAACATGGATTTTTGGTTGCAAATATTTTGCTATGTGAATGCACTTGTGATATACGCTATGTCAATGCAAAACACAGTTTGGAAAGCCAGCTAACACTGACCAAGATATCCTGCCCAGAACTTTTTTCATAATGATAGAGTAACAAACACTATTTGAATTCAGATGAGAAAAGCGAGTTACAATAAAACATGCAGAGGCAAGCTCTGTTGGTTTTATTTGCAAAAAAAGGTAATAAAACGGTATTACACTGCTGTATCCACTCTGCAACATGTAGAAGCAAGACTGGCACAGTCATTAATTGATAAGTTCTGTTTGCTGCCTTTTTTTTTTTGTGATTATTCAATGGGAGCATAGTATATCAAGGTTAAGCACATTACATATTTTCTAGAGTGAATGACATGGTTAATAACATTTATACTGCATTCCCTTTTAAGTAACCGTGATAACTGATTTTCCAGTTTGCATAAAGATCTAAAAATTGCTGAATGCTTTAGTTGGCAAGATATCATCACACTCTGTATGTTTAAAACAAATACAAAAATAAAATAAATACTAAAACGTTTGCGGACAGGCTTTCTGGGAGCAATACAGCCAACAACAAAGAAATGTCAAATTAAAATATATCATTCTTATATGTGGAGTGAGAGAAAAAAAACTTGTAGAATCTGTCATGCACGGTGCAGATGGCAAACTTTATTGTCTCTTCTGGGCACCATACTTGTGTCTGCGGATGGCTGAAACAACCATTGCATTTATACTAGCTTTTGTAATTCACGTGGATTGCCTGAAGGACTAATGGCAAATTTTCAATGACAATGAATAGAACCACCAGGAAACCCAGAAATCTTTTCTTTATGGTCCAGCCTTCCATTTACCCCTTTTTTTAAATCTGAATGCAGCAATGTATCTTTTTGTTAAGGCCTTCCCATAACTGCAGCTTTCATTTTCTAGTCTCAGTCAAGATAATTCTAATGCCAAATATAGTGGACAATTCTGCACAACGAAAAGGTTCGTGATGAAAATATATATGTAGTCCTTCATCCGGCTGCAATGAGTGAATTACAAGGTCTAAACATGGTGCACAATGATGGATTTGTAGCATTGCAAGCTTGGGACAACAAGATTTTACTCATTGCACATCACAGAGCGATACTGCTCAGCAGTTGCCATGAAAATGGCTGACCTGCTGACCTTTTATGCTCAGCTGGGGAAGCGGGCATCATATTTTTGAATGTGAGAATATACAGTCTACAGTCGGTCCATCCTGAAAGTGTCTTCGGTGGCAGGGTCAGCCAAGACCATGTCTGGATCATTTAGCATGTGCAGTCCATCCAATGTCAAAGGGTCAATTTTCAGTTCATCCAAAGGAAACTGCGAATCAGAATCAAAGCACACATCTCCTACACCAACCAATGTACTGGTAAGTTCTTTTGATAAACTTGGTGGGGACTCCCCTGTAACTGTAACAAAAAAAAAAAAACAATGCGTATTTTTATAATCACTCAAATATTATCAAATGTAACATGCAACTATCACATGAAACTCACCTACACTAATGGGGACAGCATGCAAAAAGCACAGACTTGGTGAAAGAGAATACATACCTGTGAGAATGATGTTGGGTATGTTGCTGTGACTGGAATAATTTAGCTGCTGCGAGTCCTGTAAGCTACCATGACTGCTTGTAAGTCCCATCATAGCTGCCTGAGAGTAGTTAAGGGTTGAGCAAGGACTGTACAGACTGTTGGAGCTAATTGCATTTTCAATCATATTAAACTGCTCAAGCTGCAAAAAAAGAAAAAGTGATGATTCTAAACAGAACACATTTCTTAAGGCACCATGCCTTAAATAAGATTATGTTCAAATGTCACACAAGTACCCAAAAGCATCTGAAAATACCTTTAAAATTCTCCAACAGATTTTAGGGAGCGCTTTCACCAAAAGCAAATGTACACATGCTTTGGACCTTAACTTCTTTAAAGGAGAACTATGAGGTGAGTGCTTTTCACTCACCTCATAGTTCTAGCCGACCTGTGACAATGAGACTGTCACAGGTCGGCTCAGTAGATCGGGAGGTGAGCGAACACATACCGGGTTCGCTCACCTCTCGATCCTGTCACGGCTCTCTGCCGTGACAGGGGGAGGGGCTGGATTCCCCTCTCCCCGCTCCGCCAGCGCTGTCTGGCGGAACGGACGGGGGAGGGGGCGGGTTCAGCTGGCTCTGCCTCTAGATAGGCAGAGCCAGCTGTCACTCACGCAGCTGGGCGGATCCCGTCATCTACGTCGGGATCCACTCCGGCGTCTCAGTATACCGCGAGCTGCAGCTCGCGGTATACTGAGCTTAGGGTAACGGGAGGACGCTAGTTTGTATCCTCCCGTTACCCTAAGGAGAACTATGGGGAAAAACATTTACCCCATAGTTCTCCTTTAACTTCTGAAACTAAATCCTGCTCCCCAACAGAACTGCATCTTCATCTGCTATTTAAAATTTAGAACAAGAGTGTCCAATGGTTGTTCAGGTTTTTGTACTGTGCTTTTAAATAGTGGACCATGGCTACATTTTAATTTAGAACATATTGGCTTACTATATGTGGCACCATATCCAGTATGAGGGTCCCTCCTATAACTGTTTAATGGATTAATAGGTACTTGCATGCACATTTTGGTGCTTGTTCTTCAACCATGTTATTAGTTGAAGTAGTATTAAACTCTCAACTCTTTATTCAATAACGAATCCATATATTGTCCAGCAAGGTATTTCTTTATATTTTTGCCTAAACACTTACTGTCATCATGTTTACGAACAGCTCCAACTCTCTCAGTTCAGCTTCCCTGAACTTTCTGTCCAGTGCAAAATCACAAGGGACAGAGCAATCACCAGCAGCCATCCGTCTACTAGCTTGGAGAATGGAAGAGTAAGAAGGGAGTAAGAAAGAAGTGGGGAGTGGAGGGGTTGTGACTTGCATTGCTGTGCCTGTGTGTTTGTGGAGACGCACACAAGGGTGACTGCATAGAACTCTGCAAGGAAAAGGCACAACCCTAAAACAGGATAGCAGGGCCAGTGCTCAAGGGACAAGCTGATTCTGCAGGAAACTACAACTTTTAAATATCAAGGAGCAGCATCCATTGTGATTTCACAAGCGATTTCATCAGCATTTCAAATAGCTTAAAAGCCTTTTGACTGTAATAGCTGTTTAATATACTAATATGCAAGTGACAGGTTTGCTTTAGATAAGAAATGATTTACATATCCATGACAACAGTAAAAAGGGACATCACTGACCTCTCAAGCTGCATGTACTGTGAAGTAATTCACCCTCAAAAAATGCCAACAGACAAAGTTTCAGTTGGTATCTGTGCATCCCTTAAAGAAACACCAGGCACTTGGAAGCTGCTAGAAACCAAGTACCAGATACCTTTTCTACTACTAGATAAAAGTTAGGAGACAGCTGTCATTTTTATAGAGGATTGGCTACATGGCTCCTGGGATTTGTGCATCCCTGTTTTAACCACTTGCCATCCGCCCGTTGTAAAAAAACGGACGGAGTAGCCCTCCCGCAGGGTACTGGGCTGCGGCGATAAATTTTAGTACCCCAAGACACAGGAGAACCAGCCCTCTCTCTTTCCTTGTTTTGTTCCTCTGTCTGCCATGCCTCGACCCTGGACATTCATACGGTCTGTCCCATTGTCCCGTCTTCACTGTTGCTCCATTCCTAGTTGGTACACTCCTCCATTAGGCCCCCTCGAATCCTACGATGACGCATTCTATGTTTGTCTTGGTGTTTGTCCTCTTTTCTCTTTCTGTAAATTGCCACTCAGTTTATGGTTTGTTAGATGGTGGCTATACTGACCTTTGGATGATGACATATTTGCATACCTTCTTTGTCACCCTGCATATATCTGTAACCTTATATAACATTTGATCTATATTATACTGGATTTGTTTCGGGTTACTAAGAGATCCTTTTTACTGAGATGTCTTTTCCATATGTATATGCTTCAAAACCTTAATAATAATTACATGCATAAAAAAAACAAAAATAATTTTTTGTACAATTTTAAGGCTTGACATGTTTGGTGTCTTTTTACCCGACATTAATAAAAATGTAGAAATGTCACCAGCACACCAATCCTTTTAAGATAGCAAAAGCTTCATTTATTGAAGTTTTTTGTCATATGACCAAACAAGCGCTTTTGGGACCGCGCAGGGTCCCTTCATCAGGCTTTAGCATTGACAAAATGTTGTTCTGCCCCGGGCGACTGTAACTCTGGTTACGCCACTGCAGGGCACGTAAAGTCATATATGTCTAACATGGCACAAACTTAGTTTTCTGGAAAGCTCTATACCAGCTGATTTGGCAACGATAATAGTACAATGTTTTTTTTATCCATGTTGTTTGGGAAACATAATAAACCTATGGTGCGTCTTTCTCAAATTTGATTGGTTTGGTCATATGACAAAAAACTTCAATAAATGAAGCTTTTGCTATCTTAAAAGGATTGGTGTGCTGGTGACATTTCTACATTTTTGCTGACATTCGCGGTGCCATCCGCGGTCACTGCGAGCACCCCCCACTACAAGGGACATATCGGTAAGGAGTGCGACAAGGATAGTACTTACTTTTTACCCGACATGACCCCGTCTTTTATATTTTACCAAAAAATTGGGTAATAATAAATGTTTTATCATTTAATATACGGGAAACTTGTTTTTTTTAAAATTTCGGTCATTTTTCCTTAATATAGTAAAAAAATAAAAACCCCAGTGGTGAATAAATACCACCAAAAGAAAGCTCTATCTGTCCTCAAAAAAGGGTATAAAATTAATTTCAGTACAGCGTTGCATGACGGAATAAATGTCAAAGCAAAGTACCGCAGCGCTGAATACTGAAAAATGGCCTGGATGGGAAGGGGGTTTAACACCGCGGATGTCAACTGTTTAATGTATGATTTGTTTAATATATATATGTGGGATGCACTGATACCATTTTTTCCAGACCAAGTACAAGTACTGATACTTGTCCAAGTACTCACAGATATCAATTACCGATACCTTTTTGTTTAATGTCATGCGATAGTTTTTCCAAAACAATACAGACTAATGATTTTAAGACATTGGTGAAGCGCCCGGAGCCAGTCACAGCTACAACCCTGTTAGTTCTCGTGAAAATGCCAAGTATAGGTACGGGTATCTGTGCGTCCCTAGTTTCGTTACATTAGAAACCAGGCAGGTTGCCAAGATTCTGCTTCCATATTAAGTAAAGGGAAAAGATGATGTGATTTTAGTGCCTTGGTTGTGAATTTTAAAGATGAATTTCTCCACAGTTCTTATAGCTGCAGAGGTGAATGAGGCCTTGTTTCAAAGTGTTTTCACACCTTGTTCAGAACAACTGGATTTTTATCTTACTTGTAAAACTTGTTTCTTGGTTTACATCGCAGGACACAGGGAGTTGAATTCTTTAACCACTGAGACAAAGGCATGCCAACAGAGGGGCAGGCAACATATCAAACAATGGCTAACAGGGAAGGAAAATCAATCTCAACAGGGAACTAAAAACAGATGCAATCCTGAAGTCAAATAACTGCCTATAAAAAAGTCCAAAATGGTGAAATTAAATCAAGAAAATAAAAAAACTGAAAAGTGGTGCGTGCATATGTATTCACCCCCTTTGCTATGAAGCCCCCTACATAAGATCTGATGCAACCAATTATCTTCAGTAGTCACCTAATTAGTTAAATAAAGACCATCTGTGTGCAATCTAAGTGTCACCTGATCGCAGTATCTGGAACACCACTGAGCAAGGGTCACCACCACCACCACCCACGCCCACCAAAACTCACGGATCAGGCAAGGAGGGCATAAATCAGAGAGGCAATAAAGAGTCCAAAGATAACCATGTGGGAGCTGCAAAGCTCCATAGCGGAGATTGCAGTATGTATCCATAGTACCACTTTAAGCCGTACAATACACAGAACTGGCCTAAGAAAAGCCATTGCTTACAGAAAAAAATAAGCAAACACGTTTGCTGTTTGCAAAAAGGCATGTGGGAGACTCCCTAAACATATGGAAGAAAGTACTCTGGTCAGATGAGACTAAAATTGAGTTTTTTGGCCCTACCAAGAAAATGCTATGTTTGGTGCAAACCCAAGACCTCTCATCACCCGAGAACACCATCCCCACAGTGAAGCATGGCGGTGGTAGCATCATGCTGTGGGAATGTTTTTCATCGGCAGGGACTGGCAAACTGGTCAGAATTGAAGGAATAATGGATGGCGCTAAATACAGGGAAATTCTTGAGGGAAACCTGTCTTATTTCTTGTTTGTATTACAATACAAAATATTTTGCATCTTCAAAATGGAAGGCATGTTGTATAAGTAAATCAATTGATACAACCCCCAAAAAATCCATTTTAATTTCAGGTGGTAAATCAACAAAATAGAAAAAAAATGCCAAGGGGGTGAATACTTTTGCAAGCCACTGTATGTCCACACAACAGAGGGAAATTTCTTTGGGACGTTTTGGTGCAGGACATAATGATGGTAACACAATGTCCTGATTAAGGTGAAAGGAAGAGCCTACCTAGGGTATAGATGAGACCTTAGCAAAACTTTATAGAAAGGACTCCTCGTCAAGGCTGCTAATTCAGAAACACTCCAAGCAGAAGTAATGGCTACGAGGAAGGCCATCTTGTGAGTAAGTAAAGGCAGAGAAATATCTCCGATTGGTTCAACGGGCAGCTTTTGTAGGGCCAAAAGAACAAGGTTGAGTTCCCATGCAGTTACC